TCTCTGGAGGACACATGCTGTTCCAGGTGTCTCTGGAGGACACGGGCTGCTCCAGGTGTCTCTGGAGGACACAGGCCGCTCCAGGTGTCTCTGGAGGACATGGGCTGCTCCAGGTTTTAGCCCTTTGTTGTTTGTTTGTTAAACAAAGCTCAAACGGAACTAAGTCCAGACTTACGTCAGCTGCAGGAACCAGAGTCTGGGCCAGCATGGAGATGTTCTGATCTTTGTAGAGCCATGACATGAGCAGCACACCCAGCACCATGTCCACCAGAACCGAGACCAGGACGTTAGCTTTCCTGCAGACAGAGACAGACGTGCGGGAAGGACCAGAACCAACATGACCCAACTGCTGCTCCCCCTGAGGTCCAAATGGAACCACAGACCCACCTCATGAAGTCCATGTGACCTTTGGCTGCTCTGGGAGAGCTGAGCATCTTCAGGTGTTCTGTTCTGTGGCTCACTTGGACACACGTGGACAGCTTGGAGGACAGGAAGCTCAGAGGGAAAACTCTGAAGATGCTGCAGGAAAATAAAACAATCAAAGTCCGAAGCCCTCAGAACAAGGTCAGCTGACGTGATTTCACATCAACCATCAGCCGAGATGACCCGGCTTCATCTCATCCTCACCGGATCTCACAGATCCAGGTCCAGACTGACAGCAGCCAGCTGACCAGGAAGCAGAGCGGCACTGAGGCCCGTTTCAACAACTCCACGATGATGCTGGCCTCACGGCCTTCAGACTGCCAGTGGGTCGACTTCAGAGGTCCATCATCGTATTTGTCCAAAAAGAAGAGCGGCTCGCTGCGGGCCACCGTCTGGAACATCTGAGAGGAGAGGAGAACATGTCAGGAACATCTGAGTGGAGAACATGTCAGGAACATCATGTGGGCTGCACACAGGTGCTAAATCATTTTAAATAATTTGTTTAAAATAAAAAATCCATGTCGCTTGTGCGGCTCATCCATCAATCAGCCAATTGTGTGTCATGTCCAATCTTACTTTGAAAAAGCACGAAAGAGCGAGTCACAAAAGTCAAACCACGAAGTAGTGCGGGACTACCGTAAGTTCTTGTTTTTATAATTTCACCTTGTTTATTGTTTTTAACACTACTTTTATTTCAACTGAATTTTTACTCTAGTTTATTGTTGTCTGTACTTTATATATCCTGTCTGGAACAGGTCTCTCTTGTACATGAGTCCTCGCGGCTCAGTGAGACTAGAAATAAAGGTTTCCTGAGCTATCCCTTAGTTCTGCTGCTATAGGCTCAGACTGCTGGAGGACAAACTGACCAAATGTCCTCTCTCTGCTGTTGTCTTTACTTGCTCTACTCTACCTGTTTGTAATTATTTCTATCTTAACGTTTTTTGTCTTTCCTCCTACAGAAAGTACACCTGGACTATAGAAAGTACACCTGGACTATAGAAAGTACACCTGAACTATAGAAAGTACACCTGGACTATAGAAAGTACACATGGACTATAGAAACACCACCTGGACTATAGAAAGTACACTTGGATTATAGAAAGTACACCTGGACTATAGAAACACCTGGACTATAGAAAGCACACCTGTACCATAGAAAGTACACCTGAACTATAGAAAGTACACCTGGACTATAAAAAGTACACCTGAACTATAGAAAGTACACCTGGACTATAGAAAGTATACCTGGACCATATAAAGTACACCTGAACTATAGAAAGTACACCTGGACTATAGAAAGTACACCTGGACTATAGAAAGTACACCTGGACTATAGGGATGTGCGATATGGCATAAAATTCATACCACGCTATCTATTGTGATGGGTGGCAGTAACGATATTTATCATGAAATGTTTTTGGTATAAAACTTGCAATAGGAATGAAAAAAAAGCATAGGGTGTCCTTTTGCCATCATTTATTTTGAAAACCGCTATACCTCAAAATTATCTCAATTAAGAAAATTCCACTACTAGGTCCAGAGAGTTTTTAAATAATTAACAAACCAAGTATTAGGCTTTTTTTGTAGTGCAAAGCAGTGCAAAAGATTTCAAATGTAGTTTTAGCCATATGTTTTAAACAAAAGAATATGTTGTTAACTCTGAACATTTTCCTGACTTCTCACCTTGAACAGCAACAGAGCAGCATTTTACACTGAAAACACCCTCTAGTGGGCGTCTCCTTCCGCTTTAAGGAAAACTGACACAAAATGGCGACCAGTTTCCTCTGTGGCTTTGACCAGAGGGTCTCGCAGTAAAATCACACAACACAGCGTTCTTTTACAGATCAGAGAGCAGGTTTAACCTTTTTTTTTTTTTTTTAGCTCAAATGCACTCTCTAAAGCTGACCAATGAACTTTTGACAAAAAAAAAAACAACTTTTGCCAGAACACAGCATTTTGAGCATGCGTCCAAATACGAGTACAGCAAGCCCGCTGTAGTTAGCTTGTAGCTTCGCTACTTAGCTCTCGAAAGAAGGACTTTAACATCACTTACACACAGTTTTCAACTAAAAACAGTAACGATTAAATCTGACAACTCTGATTTTACATCAGACACAGCATTACTGTGGTTAGCCGGAAGAATACAGATCTCTATCATAGTCTGTTTATCGTTTCTACCACGTACCGTATATATCGTGCATTCCTACTGGACCATAGAAAGTACACCTGGACTAATGAAAGTACACCTGGACTATCGAAAGTACACCTGGACTATCGAAAGTACACCTGGACCATAGAAAGTACACCTGGACCTGTCATTCTGTGTCTGTTTCTACTTCCTGTCCTCTCAAACCCAGCTGTTTGAAGCAGATGGCCGCTCATCCTGAGTCTGGTTCTGCTGGAGGTTTCTTCCTGTTAAAGGGAGTTATTCCTTTCCACTGTCTCCTTTGTTCTTGCTCAGGGTGGGAGACTGTGATGAAGTGGAGATTCAACACAATCGGCTGCTTCCTCAGATAGAGAACTTTTACTGATGGTATTTTATGATGTTTGTGAATGTTTCTAATCAGAGCCCTGAGACGACTTCAGTTGGGACTCGGAGCTACAGAAATAAACTGAATTGAATTGAGAACGTGTCTGGAACATCTGAGAACACGTCTTTCAGGTTTCATTTAGGAACCCAGGATGTCTGTCTTCTTGTCAACAGTTCTTCAGACTGAGTTATTTTGGACTTTTTCTTCTTCCCAGTTTGTTGGTTTGTGAACATTTGGACGTGTCTCAGTGAGAGAATTCCAAAGACAAATTTTCAAGGTACCACAGACAGTGAATGTTCCACAGAGCAGCGTAGACTTATAGTGTCCTACCTGTCTCAGCTCAGACGATGGTTGGGTTCTGTTGTCGTGGTTCTGGTCCTCAATGGGATGAAGCTGCGACACCATCACCTTCCTCTGCTCGTAGTGAACAAAGATCACTTTGTCTTCTTCATCCTCCTCCTCGTCGTCTTCCTGCTGAGTTGCTCGTCCACCTGGGCCAGACAACAATCAGGAATGAGTTTATGTCTGAAACGTTTGGTCAAATCTTAAATCATGTGGTGACGTCCAGATTCACTGAACCTCAGGTCCTGGCTCTCACTGTGATCTCGGCCGAGCACCTCGCAGCTGAAGCCCATCTTCCCGACTGTTCGGCTGATCTGGAGCCAGGGTTCCCGAGGAAAGATGGTGCTCAGGTCTCTGAGGAAGCTCTCCGGGTCCTCCTGACCCTCTTTGGGTAAACTCCAGGACCCAAGAACCGTCAGCTCCACGCCACTCTGGGCCTGCAGCTGGGAGGGAGGAGGTCCGAGAGTTTCAGCGAAAAGAACCGGAAGAAAATGAATCGTCCTGGGCTATCAGAGATTTACCTTCAGAGACGGAGCGTGTTCATAGAACCCGTGAGTTTCATTTAAAGTAAATTCACATAATTCATAATTTAATGTCCTGAAATTTAAAACTTATTCTATAAAATCTTTAATAAAACGGCATCAGATTAACACAAAAGGTTTACAATCCCTTCAGGCTTGGTCTGCTGCCTTCATACATCTCCTCCTACATGTCACTGTGTGAGTGCAGCTACAGCGTGCGCTCTCAGGACGTTATTACCCGCAGTGTTCCCTCAGTGAGGACTGAACTAGACAAAAGGGCCTTCTCCTACTCCGCTCCTGTTTCCTTCAATTGATTTAGCTATATTTATTCTTAAGTAAATTACATGAAATTTCCATGTCAGCTTCTCATCAATAACGACATCCAATAATTTTTATTTCATTAACTATGAATTTCAATACCGTCAATTTTAAATGGGACTTCGATAATTTTCTTTCTATTACTAAATATTATGTGGTTTGTTTTTTTCCAAATTTAATGATAACTTTATTAAGTTGGAACCAAGTTAGTATTTTATGAATTCTGCCTGTATCATCTGTAACATCCGTTCAATATCTTCACCCGAACAAAAAAATGTGGTATCATCTGCAAATTCATTCAAGCTTTATTTAGACAGGTTTATCCCATTGAGCCTCGGGGCGGGGAGTGGTGGCGCAGAGGTTAGAGAAGGTGGGCCTGTGATCGGAAGATCGCAGGTTCAAGCCCCGATACCGAAAACATCAAAAATGTGGGTGGGGTAGGTGAAGCACCCACACCTGCCCCCACCCTCATTTGTCCCACTCTGGGCCCTTGAGCAAGGCCCTTAAACCCCAACATCTGCTCCTCCAGGTGTCCTAGATAGCAGCTATCTGCTCCACACAGAGGGCTGTGGTAGCTCGGTGGTCTGTGGTTGTGGTAACGCAAGGAGCAGCCGAAAGAAAAAGAAAAAAATCCCATTGAGCCTCGAGATAATCAAAACAAAACAGCAACCAAAAGCACAATCAAGAGGAATAATCAAGAGCAAAAACAACAGCTAGATTAAGGCGATTGAGAAAACTAAAATCAGGAACAAGTCTGATTGGTTTTTAGCCCTGACACATCAACCAGATCATTCACATACAAAACAAACAACTTTGTTCCCAACACAAAGCCCTGAGCCCTCCACATCCATTAACACAAAAGTCAGATCGTACATCGTTTACCTGTACAAACTGTCGCCCATTATTCAAATAACTGGAAACCCACTGTAGTGTTAATCCTTTAATGCCACATTTATTCAGTTTTTAAGGAGAATGGTGTGGTCAGTAGTGTCGAAGGCCTTTTTTAAATCAACAAAAACACTAACACAATACTGTTTTTGATAACAGCATTTCTTATCTCTTCTATTAATTCCATGAGAGCCATTGATGTTGAATTATTTGCTCTAAACCCATATTGACTATTACTTAAAATATTCTATTTATCTATAAATCGATCTAATTTGGTTAAAAATAATTTCTCTAATATTTTTGAAAATTGTGGCAACAAGAATATTGGTCTGTAATTAGTGAACACACATTCCTCACCATTCTTGTAAAGAGGAACTATCTTTGCTATTTTCATATTTTCTGGAAATGTTCCTGTTGAAAATGATAAATTACATATATATGTAAATGGTTCAATAACACAACTCATTATATTCTTTACAAGCATCATGTCCAGCCAGTCTTTTGGTCTTTATCTGCAAGATTTTTTTACAATACTCTCAGTATTTCTTCTTTATCATTGTCACAGAGAAAAATGCTGTTGGCACAACCCATGACTGGATGACTCACATCATTATTTACATTTGGTATTTTAGCTGCAAGACTTGGGCCAACATTCACATAATATTCATTGAATTCATTTACTATTTCCTTTTGATCGTAGATTTTCTTGTAATCTTTTACAAAATACTGTGAAATACCTGATCAGACTTTATGATTTTTCAAAACACTATTCATTACTCCCCATGCTGCTTTCATATCACTCTTACTTTTGTTTAGTAAGTCACTATAATATTCCTTCTTATGTTTTCTTATAATCCATACCGGTTTGTTTTTATACTTCTTGTATCTCTCTTCTGCTTCTTTTATTCTTAATTTTAAGAAACATGAGTACAATTAATTGTTTTTTTTAACAAGCATTTCTTAATCCTTTTACGTCAACCATGGTTTATCAACAGCATTTCTTTTAACACAGTTTTTTTTTGCATACAATTCTTTTCATGCAGAGTTTCCAAGATATTCATAAACACATGTATCATTTGATGTTGACATCAGGACAGGGGATGAGCTGTGTGGTACCAACCTGTTGGATGTACTGCTTCACCTGACCCGGGATGAACGGGTAGTGGATGACCGCCAGAACCACGGCTGAGTTGTGACCAGAGAGCCAGCGGCCCACCAGCAGCCCACTGTCAGCCCGGTTACAGCACTGTGGGAAGAAGATCTTCAGCACCATGACGGCAGCAGCTCTCAGGACAGAACCAGGAAGCACCAGTTAAACCTTCTGTGAGTGCTGCTGAAATGACAGGATTAAACTGGATCACATCTGAAAGTTGTGTTAGGAATGAGAGTCCAACTGAACCATCGAGATGCAAAGGTTAAAAACTGACTTTTCAGGACATGAAAACAACCACCTATTCCACAGCATGTCTTGAACTGAAGTAAATCCAACGTCAGATAAAAATAAACATAATTTATTGCCGTTATTCGTTTAACAAACACTAAACCTAAAACCCAGTGAAAAACTGGTTTTAGTTCTGCTGGATTTCAGAGGTCCAGGAAGAGCCTGGAGCTGCTGCTCAACTGACCACCATCAGGAGGTGCTGCTCTGGAGCTTCCAGGTGTTAACGCAATGCCAAGACAGAAATACATCAGAATTATTTTATTAAAACATCAATTTAACAAGGATAAAAAACTCTGGAGAGTTAAAGTATTTTATGAGGAGTGTCTCGAAAAGAACAAACATAATGTAACTGTTCATCAGTCAGACATAAAATGATTTAAAATGCTGGAAATACTTAAAGATCAAAAAGAGTAAGCAGGCTAAATCATCCAGGTAACAGAAAAAAGTTAAATCATGTCATCTGGACAGTCCAAAGGACTTCATCAGTCTGAGGCCTACCAACAGGATCTGTCGTATTAAGTAGCACCTTGTTTACGTGTTTCAAACCGTTAAAAACATTTACAAGATGACAGGAAGCCTAGCTGCTTGTAAAATATGACCGAGGGCTAGATGAAGACTTCTCTACAAGGCTGTTAATAAATAAACTCGAAAGGATACTTTAATTTAAAACGAGCCGAATCACAAAGAAAATCGTAAGTAATTATAAAATAAATCCAGTTTGGAGCTAAGAGATCAGGGATTAGCCCAATTAGAGGAAAAACTAAGAACGGTCCGGTTTTAACGGGAATCTGGAAGCTGCGCGCGTCTCCTCTTTGCCCTTCAAACAAGCGGGTTGCCACGGCAACTAGAGCGCCCAGGGCGGAAATGTCGTTTGACACCAGCCGCAGTGATTTTCATGTACGAACCGGGACCAGAACCAGGCCAAGTGTTGTGTTAGCTGAGGACTAAAAACGAAAACATGTCGTCGCATAACGGAGGAACTTACTGAAATAAAATTTTATTGTGAGGCAGAAAGTCCTGCTCGACTTTAAGTTTAAAACTTCACCGGAAGTCGGGGTTTTTCAACCGTCGAACTTTTAAACATATAACCAGGAAACCGAAATATAAATGAATGAGATAAATATTATATTTACCTCTCTGAACCTTCCACCTGAAACACTGAGGCAGTAGTCCTACGGCAAAACTGCCTCCATCTTTATTTACAGTCCGTCCACTAATGTGTCCGGTCAGAAACACGGCTCTGTCTGACAGTTCCGCTGTTCTCAGAGGCTCGTTGGTTTGACTTACCTTCACTGCTCAGGGGCCAGTTACTGAAATCCAGCAGTTAAAGTCTTTATGTAAATAAACCAAGTATTAAAATGACTTGTTACCTTTTTAATTTGTTTATTTTGCTGCATTATGTATGCATAGAGGTAGGGCAGCCCAGTTGGAACCAGAAAGTTGCAGGTTCAACTCCCAGCCATGCCCACATGTTGTGGTGTCCTTGAGCAAGACACCTAATCCCTAACTGCTCCCCGGGCACGTCCATGGCTGCCCACTGCTCCACGTGGGTGTTTCTCAGGAGTGATGGGTTAAATGCAAAGAACAGTTTTCATCATTACGTTGATGACAACACAGAGCACTTTATTGTTTTTTTTTTTTTTTTTTTTTTTTCATTCATTCAACCTTTATTTAAACAGGTTAATCCCATTGAGTCTCCGGGACTCTTTTACAAGAGAGACCTGATACACTAAATTTACACTAAATGCAATGAACAGAACTCACAAGTATAAAGAAATACTTTACTAGATTTAAACCTTCAATAAAAATTTAATCATTTAAATTCCTTTGTGTCTGAATCTGTTATTTAAAACATTGTGAAGAATTGTCTAAAATACTTCAAATAAAAAAAAGAGTATTTATCACAGCATTAAGTTTTGTTTCTATGGTTTGTAACAACCAGAGGAATGTTAAAAAGTTTAAGAAAAGTAATAAAAACCTCAACAGATACAAGGATCTTGGATAAAAACTTCATTAACTTTAACAGTTTTATTTTAATTTGTTTATTCCTTTGTTTTTACCACCGTTTGTCAATTAAAGTTAATTTTATTAAAGCTACTGGTGTGACTTTTTGACATTTATTAATTTGTTACTCCTGGTAACAGACCTCGAAAGACTAAATAAAATGCTATAAAGAATAATAAGTTGTAGATAAACTTCAATTAGCCAGTGCAGTAGATCTGAAAACATTTTAAATGTTAAGGATAGTTGACTTTAAGACATTTTAAAGTCTTTTGTTTTTGGTCTCCAGATGCACAGAAACTAAACTTGTTAGTAAGAAGATAAAACCTCTCAGTTTGATGCATTTTGTGACATGACGACAAACAGTGAAAGACATAAAAAGGACATAAAGTTAGTTTCTCACCGTCTCCGTTTGTCTCTGCGCTCTAAGACAGGTTGTCCAACTGAAGACAGATTTATCTCCTGCTGCAGAAAGTGAGTCAGCAGAAAAAAGAGCGGCAACTAAACCTTCAGCAGATAAAAGGAACAACCGAACAAACTATTTTTATCTTTTTGTGGTTCAGAGTTTATATTTAAACTGTTTATATCTGTAACAACTGATTAACATTTTAATATTAGGGTTTAATTTATTAAATGTAAGTTCTATTCTAGTGATTTTATTCAGTATATTCTGTACAAAGCATTTATTTGATGACAGTTCATTTAAAGCCAGATGAACTGCATTACCCAGCAGCGCATGCGGCAGAAAGGTCGCGTTGGATTCTGGGTAAAAATTAAATAAACAATCGCGCGTGTAAGATGGCGCAGGCGGGTGAGGAGGAGGAAAAATATGTTTTTAGAGAATTCCAGGTGCTTTTTTTCAGCATGAGCCGTTTGTCTTCGTTTCCCTGGAAGGTGAGGACTTTCTTTAATTTATTTAAATAAATAAACTGAATTGAATTGAACTGAAACGAATGATTGACAGTCGTGACCTTTGACCTCCCGCCTTGGACGGACAGTCGGAGGTGGGTGGAGCCCACACACACCTGTCCAGGTGAACCGCGGGAAAATTAGTTTTACGTTGGACATTCACGCTCCGTGTCTTCAGCGGTGTGTTCCTGTCGGTCGATCCGAAGCAGGCAGTCTGATTTGGGCCAGCCGCGCTCAGGCTGCCCCTCCGAGACATTCGCTAAGGGACCGTCAACAATTTACTGAACCAAACGCTCTTCAGAAACGAAAAATAATATATTTACACCACTCACACAAAACTTATATAAAATTACTCCCCAAGACCAGGCAGACGAGACATACCCGTTTATTTCTCATTTGAAAGCATTCTTTTCGTAGATTGCTAATAAATGTCAGTTATACAACATATACAGTTTTATTACAGACACTAAGTTTACATTGTTGTGGAAAAACTGTTTTAACAAAGTGCTGAGAACACGTGAAATAAACATTCCTATTGAAGAATGGTCTTTTAATGAATTTATTTGGAAGCTTGGAGGCTGCACAGTCAAAACAGCAAAACAAAATGTGTACCTGTTCAATGAGGACGTGGTGTCAAAACAAAAAAACAAAGGGAGATGTTGTATTTACAGTGTTGTACTGTAAAGTGTCATGATTGTCTTCATGGCTTGCCCAAGATATAGACGGATGTGATGTATATTCGGTGTATTTGCTATGAGAATGCAATAAACAGACCTGAGCACGTGAAGCAGTGATAATTGTCTTTATTAAGATAAGTACAAAATATTACAGGTTAAATCTGACAAATCTGATTTTACATCAGACAGTATTACTGCGGTTAGCCGGTAGAATACAGATCTCTATCATAGGCTAAATGTCTATCGTTTCTACCATGTACCGTATATATCGCGTATCCCAGAGGAAGCTGGCCCCTTTGTTCAATTCTGAGTTATATACTTTAAAGCAAGCATCTAGAAAGCAGTAGAGAAAATGGAGTTCCACTAACGTTGAATAATGTTATTTAAACTTGGAAAGTTAGTCTGCTAACATATAAGAAAACTCTATGTAAAGCTAGAACTTTATATTATTCATCTTTAATAGATGAGAATAAAAATAACCCTAGAGATCTGTTCATTACTATAGGTAGCTTAATTAAAAGTCCCATCTCTGTTGAATCATGTATCCTTACAACTATAAGCAGTAATGACTTAATGAGATTCTTTATAAACAAAATTATTTCAATTAGAGAGAAAATTCAAACCATCCTTACTTCTACTACCCCTGGTCCCGTCAGATGATGCAGCTTTAGAGTTATTGCTGAAACCCGATTTGTGTTTGGACTGTTGTCCTGTTGAGCTCTCTGAATTGTCAGAAATAATAGCTTCATCCAAATCATGCTCTTCTGCTAGATCCCATCCCAACCAGAATGTTTAAAGATGTATTTCCCCTAATTAATATTCACATTTTGGATCTGCTTCATTTGTCTCTAATAAATGGTTATGTACCACAGCCCTTTAAGGTTACTATAATTAAACCTTTGCTTAAGAAGTCTGACCTTGATTCAGAAATTCTGACCAACTTTAGACCTATATCTACGCTAACTTTCATCTAAAATAAATTCAAGAGAAAATAGTTGCTGGTCAGTTGCGTGATCGCCTGCAAATAAATAAACAGTTTGAAGAATTTCAGTCAGGGTTTAGAGCTCACCACAGCACCGAATCTGCACCGGTGAAAGTTACTAATGATATTCTCATGGCCTCTGACAATGGACAGGTGTCTACACTGGTCCTGTTAGACCTCAGTGCTGCATTCTATTACAGAGACTTGAATATGATATTGAAATTACAGGAACAGCTCTAAATTGTTTTGTTACTTGAAGATTATTATTGTTTGAATTAATTGTTTGGAAAAAAGGGGCAGATAAGATTTTTTTTCTTCCTTCTGCTGCCTTTCATTTTTATTGTTTTTTTTATTGTTTATGGAATTGTTTATAGTTTTAAAAATGAATAAATTTATAAATAATTTAAAAAAATGGTTTAAATCATATGTATCTGATAGATTCCAATTTGTAAATGTAAATAAATCATCATGCGCCATAGTTAGTAATGGAGATCCTCAAGGTTCAGTGCTTGGACCAATACTCTTTACTTTATTTATGCGTCCATTAGGTAGTTATTAACAGCATGGGATACATTTTCATTATTATGCTGAAGATACACAGTTATATTTGTCCATGAAACATTATGATCCTCTCTTCTGCCTCTTCTAGTCGTTTATTTGTCTTATTGGCATCTTCTTGGATTCCCTTCAGCTGCATATCATTATCTTTCCTGAATTCTCTCAGTTCTTTTATTATGGTTCCAGACTTACGCTGCAAGCTTGTTGGTCATCACCTGTTAGTGCGTCATTGTCCTCCATGACTCTACCAGCAGGTGCAGTCTGGTCCACTTCATCTCCTTGGTGCAGCTTCCACAGATCACTTCATACCTTCAAGTCTTGTTCTTCATTGTTTAGAAAGAATTATTGCAAATTCGAGTTGTTTTGGTTTTTAACTTCAAAATCGGGAGCTCCTTTCACTGCTGTCATCCTCTTGCTCGCCGGCCCGCCAGTCCCCCGACCAGGACCTGTTTCGGATCGACCGAGAGGAACACACCGTTGAAGCCACGGAGCGCGAATGTCCAACGTAAAGCTAACTTCACCGCGGTTCACCTGGACAGGTGTGTGCATCACACCTGTCAGCTCCCAGAGCTGTAAATGGTTCTGAGTCCAAACTAAACAACAGAGCCAGATTCTGACCCAGTTTGTGTTGCAGGTCTTGGAGGACCACCTGCAGAGCAGCGAGTCCGCCGAGTTCCTCTTGGATCTTATGAAGCAGGTAAACTTGACCCGGTTCTGATCAAACTCGGTTCTGGTCAACAAAACTCAGGCAGGATGTCTATGTCCTGCAGACGTGTCTTCATCCTCTGAGCCGGAAGTTCCCCCCGTCGGTCCGGTATCGGAGGCTGTTCCTGTGTGAGCTCATCAAACGGGTCAGTGCAGGTCCACTAGAACCTCCTCTGTCTCATGAAACAGAACCTTCTGTAACCTCCTGTCTTCTCAAACAGAACCTTTCAGAACCTCTTCTGTCATTTCATACAGAACC